CATATGTGGACATATTTAGTCATGAATTCTAAAACATATCACATATATTCGTCATATGTGACCATATATCAATCCAAAGTTCATCATATATGGTAATTTCTGGACATATCTCAATTTGAACCTCATATGTGACCACATATCAATCCAAACGTCATGATATGTGATAATTTCTGGCCATATATCAATTTAAACATCATATATGGTCATTTGTGGCCTTATGGTCTTTTTGAACATGAGATGTGACCATATGTAGACATATTTGGTCATGAATTCTAAAACATATCACATATATTCGTCATATGTGACCATATATCAATTCAAAAGTAATCATATATGGTAATTTCTGGCCATATATCGATTTGAACATCATTTGTGGTCATATTTGGCATTTTATTGTCATGCATTCTCATCCATGTCATATATAATTACAATATGTGATCATATATCGATGTGGAGGTCATAATTTAAAGACATATATAAATTTGGACATCACATATGGTCATTTGTGGCTGTATATGTTCATTAATACCATACATGATCATCATATGTGATCATATATCAATTTAAATATCACATATGGTCATGCATAGCTATGTATGTTCATATGTGATCATGATCATATATGTTCACCATATGTAATCACTACACATGATTAAGTATCAATTTAAACTTGACCAAATATGACACGCCTGATAACATATTCTACCATAATGGTGATTTATCACGAAAAAACTTTGCTATAAATAATAAATAAGCAAACAACAAATAAACGCTGATGAAAATTTTTATCCGTGATAAGAATCTTGAAAATGTTAATACAGAGGTTGAAAAGGCGGAGCAGGAACCACGAAAGCCTCGAGGGCACCACGCCCCTCGGACGTGAACCTGTTGTGTGTAAAAAAACTCAAGAAAAAAACTAAAAGACTCTTGAGAACGTCACACATAATAATACTCTCGAGGATGACAAAAACACTAAACTTTAAAATCTCGGCAGAGAAATTAAAAAATCATGACCTTTCGACGAAGCCATTCAAACTATGTTAATAAAATCCTGGATTAGCTCATTTTTGACTGGATCCTTTGTTACATCCAGTTCTTGAATAAATAACAATAAAATTCACTTATAGGTGTTAAAACTCGAAATTACATTTATTTTTTTTTTTTTTTTTTTTTCAAAAGCTCAGACTAATGTTAATAATAATATTACGTCATTGCATAAAGTGTAAAAATTTTACTAAAATGGTATTCGACACTAAAGTATTTTTTCAATGTCACATAACCACCAAATTGTGTTAAATTATAGTGTTAAAATAATTAATCCAAATTTTAGTGTTGAATTTGACGAAAAATTTTTTAATGTGAAGTAAAGTTTGAACAATTTATCAGGTCGAAAGTATAAGGGCAAAAGATCGAGTAAATCAGTTAGGATCACATGGAAATGAGATTCATTAGTGTTAAACCAACGTTGGGGGTGGAAGTCTGCCGCTCGCGGCAACCCTCGATATAAACACAAAAAAGGGGGTGTGTCAACCTACGGCTCTATACACTTTCTCTGTACTATGCAGCATGGGGTTCGTTATTGCGCGGTTACGCGCTTTTATATTTTTTTTATTAACATTCATATCTATGTGCAATGTACAAATGGGGAATCACCTTTGATCTAAAGATTGAATTGTTTGGAATTTACGGACTCTATTATTATCGTTTTGAAAATCAAATATTTATTGGGATCATCGCTATCAAAATTATTGTAAAGCTCCAATTTTTCATATAAAATAAAGAAACTTTTGGGGATTTGTATCATTTACAAATTTACGATTAATTCAATTTAAACAGCATAAAGATTATATTTGCTCATGTGTTTTCATATATATTTTTTTTCACTGGTAAAATTAATTTCTTATTACAACCACACTAATTTTTTTCAAAATAAATTTTTTCTTACAGTTCATTATTATTTTTTTTTTACAAAAATTTATTCTAAGAAAATTACACAGTAGTTAATAAAAAAATCACTAATTAATCAATTTCTTCAACAGATAACAACTGGAACTATCGATCCATACCCCAGTGTATCACAAACAAGCCCTCAGAGACCATGACTGTAAAAGACGAGGGTTCGTCGACATCTAAAGAGCGATACCTCGAGGATTACTGGGATTAAACATAAATTGAATCACTTGTCACCCACCCTTGCTTTTAGTACAGATATTTAAACTATTCCGTATCCAAATTCTCAATCATCGCATCGTTAGATAGGTTCATTAGCTGTTGATCGATATTAAGAGAAATCTTCTTGACAAAATTATTCAAAATCGGCGAACAGAAGTTGTGAGCACAGAGAAGAAGGGGGATGCAGCGGAGATGATTAAATAAATTAAAAAATAAAGTTGTAACCGGGTATTTTCACCCTTAATGAAGCCGTGTTTAATATAAAACTCTAGGAAAATCCCAGACTGACTCCCCTTTGCCCCTGCGACCCTTCGACTGCTCTCGTTTGCACCCCGCGAGCTAATCTGACTTTGATTAAACTTTTAGCGACACGTACGGGGGTAAGCGAGAAAGAAAGTAGCTAATAGAATTGGCAGTTGTTGTTCTTGTTGTTGTTGTTGTTAGCCAACGAACGTTGACGTCTAAGTCGATTTTATTACATTCCAGAGCATTAATTAATTCACCCTTGTAAGCCAATGAAAGCTAATCTTATAAAACATCACGGGATTATCAGCTGATAAAATTTTTTATGCATTCCTCAATTTACGGTTTTAAAGACAAACATTTGAGTAGTTTTTTTTTTGTCAAGCGTGATTTATTGAAACTATGGATGAATAAAGTATTATTTTTGGAGTAATTAATTATAGTTATAAAAAAAATCAAAACAACCCGTGTAAAAATGATATGATATCATTATGAGGCTCATAATGAATATCATAATGAATCTCGTATTTTGGCACTAATATCATTATGATTTCATAATGAAATTATGTTAATATCATCATGGAGATACTGTCCTACTGAATTTCCAACAGTCACAAAAAAGTTTTTCTCTTGAATTATGAATAGAAGGCAACAAAATCATTACAATATTATGATGAATTTAAAAAAATATCAGCCTGATTCCATCATAAGTTTACGCAGTTACTATTATGACTTCAGTATGAAATTATGCGTTTGTCACTATGGATTTGTCACGAATCTCCATGAGACCGATCCGTGTGGATCAAATTTTATATTCAATAATAATTTTAAATTACTAGAAATTTGCTTTCTCCAACAAGAAAAATAAAAATTTTATAATCTAGTTAAAAAAAATTCGTTTCCATAAGTATTTTACTTAATACAGGTTTCAAATATATTGATATGGCTTTTATATGAATCTCATATTAGTGCCAAAATATGAGCCTTATAATGATATCATATCATTTTTACACGGGAAACCAAACTAAAAAATAGAAAATAATTTTGAAATAAAAATAAAGTAATTTTGATGAAAATAATTTATACTATTTTGCAAAACCAGTGAGGTGCTTAATAACTATTATTGTAAAAGTTTTATTGGTAGATATTAGCAGGTTTTCAGATTTTTAATTGACAAAAATAAAATAAAATAAAGATTATAATTTTAATTTTGTTTTTTTTTTTTTTTATTAAGGAAAAATATAGCCAGGGGTTATAATTTAGAAATTTATGGATGCAGCGCCATCTAACGAAAAAGATTGGTACTTGATATAATGTCTTCTAAGGTATATGAGTGATTTCTGTAAATGATCGACAAATGGTAAAATAAAAAACGTGTCGAATATAGCCATCGTGATGGTAACTTGGCAGAAATCTACTGTTAATGTTTGTAGTTAATTTTACAACAGTTTCCCCGATAGCCACCCCTTACCTGAAACTTGCTGTAACTGGAACTGCTGTAACTGCTGGAAATCAACTACTTTCTGAGAAAGTGCTAGCTATTAGGGTCATTTTTATGCAACTTTGATTTAAAAAGTTACTCAAAAGTTGAGCTTGTGATTTTAATATTGTACTGTAAGTCTTGCCGTAAGCTTACATTAAATTTGTATACAACTTTTATTTAAAAAAAACTTTACGAAAATTATAGAAATGTACGTTCTTAAATAGAAAATGAAATTATTGTATCAGGATTGAAAGCGATAGCTTTTTTGTTAATAAAAATTATCTGTGAACGACTCACAATTTAAAGACAGTCAATTAAAATATACAATAAACAATGAACAAAAATCATAGGTAATATCTAAATTATTTTTCTGACTTTTAATTTTTCAGTTACGTAATTTACTTTTGAAAGGTGGGATAACATAATAATTAACATCATAAATTTTAGAAATATAACGACTTTAATAATGAAGAAATAAATTGGATAAAACACAAAATTTGATAACACCTAATATGACTTTAGTGACCTTTTATTATACTTGTCCGATAAGAATTACAAAAAGTAATAAAAAAAAAATGTATCTTCGATAAAATAATAAAAAATAATAGCCAAGTAATTCAATATCTGCTATTCGGAAAAATTGGTGAAATTTAATGATGAAACAAATTTGTTTCAACATAATTGTATCGCAATTAAATAATTAGCTCAAAAAATCCACGAGACGGTATTACAAAATCGTGTAATTACAAAAATTATGATTGCTTTATGACAGTTGGCAACGTTATTGTTCGCAGTTTTAGACAGAAACACAGTAGAGGGGTATACGCTCAAATAACGGGACAGTTGACAAACGTCATGCCACGCGATTGGTCAGTATTTTTGTACAAATAGCTTCGGTATTGTTCTAAAAGCCAAGAAAAGCTAAATTGGTAGCTCAAAAAAATTAAATATCATTAAAATTGTCGTGAGTGTCTGTTGCTTTGTGTGTTCTAAACTAATTTCGGAACGGTCTCAAAAAATATCATATTCAGGTTGTTATATTTATGATCAATTATCATTGATTGTTTCCACTTAGTTTGTGTCGAAGAAAAATTGATCCAATATGGGAGTCGGAAAGTTGATGATTGGTATAATTATTCCATTGTCAATTTTTGGTTGTGTAAGCACTGAAATCTGCTCGGTCTACAACAACGTGCAAATTTTGAAGAATAATGATAAAGGATCCAATTCCTATGTAAGATCATACAATTTAGAAGAAAACGGGGAACTGTCAATAAATATTGAAATACAATTCGAATGCAAGGTAATAATATTCAACGCGGAAAATGTTACTCATATTAGTAAAATCAGATTGGAAAATACTGCAAATCACAAAATTTACACGACTGATGACTACTCTACTTACGAGAACATTATTTTGAAAATTTCATTCGCGGAAAATGTACCTCCAGGGAGTTATAAAATCAACTTTGATTACAACTCCGAGATAAACTCGCCTGCTGTGCTTTCCGAGTAAGTATTTTGGTAAATAATTAATTAATAACCTTGTATTTTATTAAACTGATTTCGGTTGCTCAATAAATGCCGATAAAACTTTCAAGATGGATCATGCTGACCAATTTCGACGACGATCACGTTGATGAAAAAAACAGTAACGCAACGAGAGTATGGCTCCGAAAAAGTGCTCTGGGCCATGGGAAATATTTAGTAAAAAACGTCGAAAGTTTATTGGAAGCTTTTGAAAACTTTATCGGCTTCTCGTACAATAAAAACAAGTACGTTAAACTGGACTTATTCGTGGTGCCTCAAAGTCCAAAGTCCAAGCATCGTCGCGGAGAGTTTATTTATGTCGAGTAATATGAACACTTTCTTAACGATTGTCGAAAAAGAGCAAGAAAGTAGTAGCGATCCAGCGACTGCTTAAAAAAATTTCCAATTCTTCTTAACTTTTACTTCATTAATATTAAAGTCTGCAGATTAAATAGTTAGGAATAATTTTTGAAAATCGGTCTGCTCCACTTTCTTCACTTTTTTCTCAATTTCAAAAATGACTCCATTGCTCAACTGATCGGTTCATTTTCAGCGAAGAAATTTTCGTCAACGAAGATAATATTGCTACGAATAATGCCGAACAATTGTACCGTACTATTGTAGAAATGATGATTAACCAGGCATTTGAAGGTTATAACCCTCCTCAAGTCAGTCCATTTAGCCGATTAGCATTCACACTTAGAAAATATTTGGTGTACCTTATCACCGATAAGGTAATTACACGATTCTTACCTATAATCAACATGATATAAATTAACTTTTCAATACTTATTGTCTAAAGGCTATTCCATCGTGGCATTTACAAGATGAGTATGCTCGCCTACTACGATACAGTATCTTTGAAAGTGATTATCTTTTCAGCCACTTACATGCATACGACATGTTTGATAGTTACCCTAACAGTACGTGAAAAATGTTGAACAGTCTCTAATATATTCTCTCTAACAGGTTATAGATAATTTTTCACATAATTTTATTTAAAATTCTAGATGGCTTAGTGCTTCGCATGATAGAACATGCAGCTGGAAAAGAATTTTTTTCCAACAGTTTGAAGACATACTTACAAAATCGGTATTTTATTAATTAGATTACAATCGTTTCATTTATATATTCAATAATTTTAATATTATTTTAGAACTGCAGTCTACACTACAAATTTTTTTACCGTGCTGATGACAGAAATGTCTGGTGACAGAAAAGACTTTCTAGAGAATATTTTCACCAGCTGGATAAATAATATTGGTTATCCTATCGTAACTATTACTAGGGATTATGGAAATAATTCGGCTATTATAACACAGTCACGTTTTTTGAGAAACAGTAATAAAATTTCAATTATACGACACTGGATCGCATTGAATAACGCAACTCAGGAAAACGCTGATTTTGATGATACCACTGTCACTATGTGGTTCGATCCAAAAATAGAATCACTAGAAATTGTGACACCTCCCCCGGACCAATGGGTCATATGCAACAAACAGCAATTTGGTGTGTATTTTTTTGGAAAAGTAACTTATTCGCGCGGTATTTTTATTCGGAATTTATGTTTGCAGGCTACTATCGGGTTAATTATGATGAGAAAAATTGGAAACTGATTACTGATTATCTCAAGTCTGGAAATTACCAAAAAATTCATGTTCTGAACCGCGCGCAACTTATAGACGACGCGTTTGTTTTCGCTGAATTTGGATACCTCAATTTCAACGTCGCCTTTGATTTGGCGAGATATCTCAAAATTGAGACAGAATATGTCCCGTGGGCGACTTTTTGGGAAAAAATGTTCCGTTTATATCAATACTCTTCAATATCTGGTTCTCAATACTACGAACCGTTTAAAGTAAGCATTAAATCACACTCAAATTGTTCGATTCTTAGATGAGAAGACGTACTACTTTTTATCGAAATATATCTTCAAAGTTTGTGATCTCGATCGGGAGTACACAGGAGTTCTCCGAAAGTTTTGACTAACTTGCTGTTTTTTGCAGAATATGATTTTGGAGTTATCTGGCCCACTGGAACGTAAGTTTCTGTCAGATGCAGCATTTGATGGTAACGATCGCATGGAAAGACTCAATAAAATAGCGTTTATAAAGTGGACTTGCTTCTACGGTTCAACGTTATGCAGAAACTATTCACTTGTTAAACTCAAAAATTGGCTCGCAGATCCCGTTAAAAATCCGTCAGTTCGACGTTACACTTCATTACCATATCGATAATTTACCAATTTAGTTTCTTCTAAAAAATTTTCTTTGTTTTTGATGCAGACTATTGGAGGACGTCCGAAAAGAAATACTTTGTGCAGGAATTCGCAGTGCTGATAAGGAAACTTGGGAAAAATTACTGGAGAAATATTCAATTGACAAGGACGACACCATTCTTTTTGCACTCATGTGCTCATCGAAGTATGAGTTATTGGAGCAATTGATAATGCTTTATATTGATAATCAATTACCTACAAAAAATCCGTGGTTTTTTTTCATGACTATTGCACAGCAAAGCACCACCGGCTTGGACGCCATCATACAATTTATTTCTCAGAAACAGAAGACAATCTTTGAAAAGTAAATGTAGCCTATTGAATAATTACCACCCGAATTTTTATAAACAGTGATAGTAATTCGTAACGAAATTTTTTCAGGGACAATCATTACGATATCATCGAAAATATGTGCGTTGTTATTGAGCAATTTATCAACCTTAACGATCAACTTGAAAATGTAAGTTCACGGATGTGAAGCAGACATTGACTCATCCAGCATTCACATCAATATCTCGGTCATTATTCAAGCACCAACAGTTATTTGTGGCTTTTTTGTTACTCTAAAGTTAGAAGTTTGTTGCTTGGATTGATCATTAATTATATTGATCAATGTTGTATCGTTTCAATGCTACACAATAAAGAATTTTCCGTGATTGCGTGACAAAAATGTAGTGTAAGAAATCACGCAAAATTTTTTATATAAAAATTTGTATCTAACTTAAATTTGACTATTTTTACAGTTCCAAAAAATATTATCTGTAAATCACGAATTGCTTGGTTTAGAAAGTACTGTTTCACATCGCGAGACTGCTATTATTCGAGTTCAACATGCAAATTTGGTACTGCAGCGATTAAAAGTTTAATTTCAACTTTGTACAAGTAGATGTACAGAAAAATGATTTGATCATTGAAAATTGTTAATAAAATTATATTACACAATGAAAAAATAAACTGTCTAATATTTTCTAACGAATGATGAAAGATAGAAAAAAAAAATGAGTGTATTTTTAATCGAATAAAAAAATTTTATTATAGAGTTAAGCATAGATATAATAAGAATAAGTATTATTTAATGATAAATACAATTTAAGAAATTGGGGGTTAAATTAAAGTTAATTTTTATTTAGCTCAAACAACTTTTACATGCCAAATTTCTAATAAATTCTTAGACGATTGATCCTAAATTTAAAGTTGTGGATATTTATTGGACGCCTCATAAGCGAAGCGTTGAGGTTGTGCTCTACTCTCGACATTTCAAAAAAAGCAGTTTTCTCGAAACTGAAATTGATTTTTTTTTATTTATATCGCACTTACAGGTTAATATGATTACACTTATATCAAGTCAAATAATTCGTCAGGCACATAAAATATATTTCAATAACAATTTTATTGTTTAACATAGTAAATAATAACATTAAACATAATCTTTTCTAGACGTCCGTGTATGGATGAGTGTATGTGGCAGGGAAATTGGTCGAAAAAATAATTATACTGGAATAATTTTTTTTTATTATCTAAATTAACACGCTTAGGATTTTCTCAATTAATATAAGCGTTTAGTTCACTGTCGTTAAATTATTATTTATAAAAAACTAATATATGACTGTGGATTTTTTTGTATATCTATCTATACATTTTATTATAGTATTTTTTTTCCTCACTTTAGAGTTATGGCGCCACTAAACCATAGCAGAGTTTTCTGTTTTTTATTATTTTGCTTTTTATCTTTTATTTTAATCAATTTTATTCCGAAAAATGGATTTGCAACGCTTCGCTTTTGAGGCGTGCAAAATATTACTTTATCAGAAAATTTATAAAATCTTTCTCGGAGTGAATTTCTCTCCATTATTTTTTAAAAGTGGAAGTATGATTTAATTATTATTTTTCTTTATTAAGCGGTAATTCAGAAAATAATTTATACTGTAAGCTGTAAAACATCTTCATATAAGCTTTAAAGATAGTGATCCACAATCATACACTTAAAATGTACTCATATCGTCATCTTCGAAAAATGATATATTAATTACAAAAATTATTTCTAATCTTATAAATGTCAATTTAATGGGCTGTAATAAATCCTCGCTTGAAACGATATCTATTAAATGTGATTCATTTTATTTAATATGAAAAAGGAAACAAAGGTAATTTTTATCTACGTGTATTGTTATTATAGACTAAAATTCTACGTACTCATCATAAAATTTCAAAAGTTTTTTTTACAGCTGTTACATTTATAACTTACAGATATAATTTAAGATTTTTAATTTAGAAAAAATTTAATTAAATAAATTATGACTTTTTTTTTAAAAATGAAATTTTTTAATTGTTGGACTTTTTAGGAGTAAAAAAGTTCTTTTGTTCTAAATTCAATTTTAAATAAATCAGAAAATATGAAAAAAATTTTTTTTAATTCAGTAACAAGATAAAAATGTCATTAATATATTTAAAATAATGAGCTCATGAGAAATTATAAACGACTTGTGCTTGGGAAAAGGGACTGGCTGTAAAAAGGGATCGTTTTTAATGATTTAAGTTTTAATTTGATTGGACGATTTTTGAAGCATTTTAAAAAGTTTAATTTTTTCTTTAAACTGATGGTTCTACCTCCCAAATAGCGGCTTACATAGATTAGAACATTGTGGGGCGTGATTGGAAGGAGTTTTAATATAAAGAGGTGTATAAATGGAGTAATAGGCAGTAAACTATAGTCTCAAACAAGAATATCATCACATTGAGTACTTTCGTAAGTATTGAAATTTACAATTAAATTGAGTTAACTGGAAAATAATTTTTATAAATTTTGTCCATATTATTTATGGATTATAAATAATATATATCGGTAGAAAAAATTCAAAATCATAAAAAATAGTATGTAATGTAATATAACTATGAATTGTTAATTTTAGAATAAATAAATTTGACAAATACAAAAATAAAATGTTATTGTCAAGAATAATGGAAGTGCTGTTTGAAGCGCTTATTTTATTTACAATTTGTGGTTGTGTAAGCACTGAAATCTGCTCGATTTACAACAACGTGCCAATTTCGAAATACAATGACCATCTAAGACCAATTATCGATGCTCAATCATATAATATAAATCAAAGCGGGGAACTGTCAATAAATATCGAAATAAAATTCGAATGCAATATAATAATATTCAACGCGGAAAATGTTACTCATATTAGTAAAATCAGATTAGAAAATACTGCAAGTCACGAAATTTACACGACTTATCACTACTCTATTTCCAAGAACATTATCTTGAAAATTTCATTCGCGGAAAATATACCTCCAGGGAGTTATAAAATCAACTTTGATTACAACTCCGAGATAAACTCGCCTGCTGTACTTTCCGAGTAAGTATTTTGGTAAATAATTAATTAATAACCTTGTATTTTATTAAACTGATTTCGGTTGCTCAATAAATGCTGATAAAACTTTCAAGATGGATCGTGCTGACCAATTTCGACGACGATCACGTTGATGAAAAAAACAGTAACGCAACGAGAGTATGGCTTCGAAAAAGTGCTCTGGGCCATGGGAAATATTTAGTGAAAAATGTCGAAAGATTATTGGAAGCTTTTGAAAACTTTACTGGCTTCTCGTACAATAAAAACAAGTACATTAAACTAGACTTCTTCGTAGTGCCCAAAAGTCCAACGTCCGAGCATCTAAGCGGAGATTTTATTTATGTCGAGTAATATGAACACTTTCTTAACGATTGTCGAAAAAGAGCAAGAAAGTGGTAGCGATCCAGCGACTGCTTAAAAAAATTTTCAATTCTTCTTAACTTTTACTTCATTCATATTAAAGTCTGCAGATTAAATAGTTAGGAACAATTTTTGGAAATCGGTCTGCTCCACTTTCTTTTCTTTTTTCTCAATTTCAAAAATGACTTCATTGCTTAACTGATCGGTTCATTTTCAGCGAAGAAATATTCGTCAACGAAGATAACATTGCTACGAATAATAACGAAAAATTATTCCGTTCTATCGTAGAGATGATGATTAATCAAGCATATAATAAAAAATTTCAAAAATATAAGTTACCCGTACAACTAAAAGAATATTTAGTATACTACATAACAGATCAGGTAAAGTAATTTATATTTATTCGATTAGCTATCTTAATTAAAATACAATAGTTTGCTGTACATTTAATTATGTTCAGGCGACCAATAACTGGCATTTGATGGATTTGTTCACTTTCAAGCAACGATTCATTATTTTCGATGGAGATTTTCTTTTTAATCGATTGATCTATGGTGCAATGGGAGATCATTTCCCTGTTGGTTTGTTGAATAAGATATTTATGTTTTTTTTTTTTTAATTCTATTAAGATAACAGTAATTCATTAATATTATTCTGTAATTATGAAATCAAACAGGTGGATCTATTATTCGAATGATTGCTCATATTATTGGCGAAACCAATTTTAAGGCAGCAGTCGACAATTTGCTGGAGGGAAGGTAAGATAAAAATTAAACAAGTTACTAAAGTAAATTGCTTCGCTATTGTTGCAATAATAAGTGCAATTTATGATAAATTTGATATAAATGTATATAAACAGAGGAAAAGCTGGAACATTTACTTCTAATCTAAACAAAATATCGACTGGAAATAAAAAATTCCTTGAACAAGTAATTGAAAACGTGGAAGATTATAAAGGACATCCAGTAGTTACGATTGAAAGGAATTATCAAGCTAACAGTGCTATTATAAAGCAGTCAGTTCTTAAAAGAAGTTCAAACAAGACGTCGTCAAAGCGAAACTGGGTACCATTGAATTTTGCAACTCAGTATGACGCTGATTTTGATGATACCACTGTCACTATGTGGTTCGATCCAAAAATAGAATCACTAGAAATTGTGACACCTCCCCCGGACCAATGGGTCATATGCAACAAACAGCAATTTGGTGTGTATTTTTTTGGAAAAGTAACTTATTCGCGCGGTATTTTTATTCGGAATTTATGTTTGCAGGCTACTATCGGGTTAATTATGATGAGAGAAATTGGAAACTGATTACTAATTATCTCAAGTCTGAAAATTACAAAAAAATTCATGTTCTGAACCGCGCGCAACTTATAGACGACGCGTTTGTTTTCGCTGAATTTGGATACCTCAATTTCAACGTCGCCTTTGATTTGGCGAGATATCTCAGAATTGAGACAGAATATGTCCCGTGGGCGACTTTTTGGGAAAAAATGTTCCGTTTATATCAATACTCTTCAATATCTGGTTCTCAATACTACGAACCGTTTAAAGTAAGCATTAAATCACACTCAAATTTTTCGATTCTTAGATGAGAAGACGTACTACTTTTTATCGAAATATATCTTCAAAGTTTGTGATCTCGATCGGGAGTACACAGGAGTTCTCCGAAAGTTTTGACTAACTTGCTGTTTTTTGCAGAATATGATTTTGGAGTTATCTGGCCCACTGGAACGTAAGTTTCTGTCAGATGCAGCATTTGATGGTAACGATCGCATGGAAAGACTCAATAAAATAGCGTTTATAAAGTGGACTTGCTTCTACGGTTCAACGTTATGCAGAAACTATTCACTTGTTATACTCAAAAATTGGCTCGCAGATCCCGTTAAAAATCCGTCAGTTCGACGTTACACTTCATTACCATATCGATAATTTACCAATTTAGTTTCTTCTAAAAAATTTTCTTTGTTTTTGATGCAGACTATTGGAGGACGTCCGAAAAGAAATACTTTGTGCAGGAATTCGCAGTGCTGATAAGGAAACTTGGGAAAAATTACTGGAGAAATATTCAATTGACAAGGACGACACCATCCTTTTTGCACTCATGTGCTCATCGAAGTATGAGTTACTGCATAAATTAATCACGATGTTTATTAATGGTCAATTGGTTCAAATTAATCCTTGGTATTTTTTGATTAAAATTGTCAAACAGAGCCCCATCGGTTTGGACACTATCATCCGTTTCATTTACAACAAACAAGACGTTATTCACAGCATGTAAATTTGATATCTTTTATACTTATATGCTTCAATGATATATTTTACATAGTTTTTATGATTTTTGTTGAAACTATTTCTAGGCATGACCATAACCATCTTAACTCTTCAACAGGCTTCATCACTAATTATGGAGAAGTAACTTATGACATGTAAGCTAAATTTTCGACGATTTATAATTTCGATCTACATTTATTAGGAAATTTTTTAATTTTCACATTCTTTGTTTATTTTTTTAGGAATCATTTCCAAGCCTTTGTAGATTCTTTCTGTACAGTCATTGAGCAGTTCATTACAAATAACCAACAACTCGATAAGGTTAGTATCAAAACTTCATTTTGAATCACCAATCAAACATGTCAATATAAAATCTCTTCACTTTTTTTTTTAGTTCAAAAAAATATTGGGTGATAATTTGGATGTTATTGGAAGCAGAGAAGTTGGTAAATATTTGTACTTTGCTCAAATGAAAGTTCATGCCTCAACTTTAGTATCCAATTCAATGAAAGCTTACTGGAATTTTGAAGAAAAATAATTTGGTTTTAAATCGTTAACGTAACTTTTTAAAATTATTCAATAGAAAACAAACATATTTGAATGCTACGTCATATCGACGGTCTAATTAGCAATTTGTCTAACTCCTTATTTTTTAGAGGGTGATTTTTTAACATTTTGATATAACAATATTCCAATTATAAATTGTTTGAATTATTCAAACCAAAATATTATACCTCTATTAGATATTAATAATATTAAATGGTTTTTTGAAGCGCTAAAAGATTTTGAACTAATTATTTTTTTTGTAGGGATGAAAAGTTTACTATTTAAAAATAGTGTGAATAAATATGAATGCATCAAAAATTTTCAGCTAAGAAATAAAATTCTTTAAAATTTCCAACAAATTAATTTATTGTCATAAAAATCTTCATTTTTTCAAAAACTTCTCACTTAAATCACTTATAATAAATTAACTATTGTAATAAATTAATTATTTGCAACAACTTTTCTATGAATTATTAAGTAGAACTTATTAATTCATGATTGATCTATTAAAACTCTTAATCTTAACATATATTCGTCAATTTCATACAAATATTGTAAATACCGAGAAAAGCTTACGTTAAAAATAAATAAACTTAAATGATTTAAATGTCTGCACTGTTCTTCTAATGACGAAGAAAGAAATTTAACACCAAACTATAGAGCTGAACAAATTGGATATATACTATTTGTAATATACCTCCGTACAACATGACCGATGGCTAGTTTGTTAAGCGACTTACAAGTCTCTGGAAGATCTGGGTTCGAATCCTGGCTCCGGTATTGTCGGTTTGCGATAGTCTTCTTTCATTTGGAGGGGAGATTAAAATGTAGATTCAGTAAACAATGTGATGAAATTGGATAACCAAAGTAGAGCCAGCACGATCAATAATTAGTTAGGGAAATTCGCGCCGATGATATCGGGGTAGTTCAATTGGGTAAGAACGTCCAGCTTGTGAGTGTAAAGTCGTTTAACATACTCGCTATCTGGAAAATAATTTTTTTTTTATGATATTTTTAGTATTAAAATAAAAGTAGTAACCTTGCAGTCACTATGTGACTGCCGTGAATTGTGGACTATAAATAAATAAAATTTTGCTTTATTAAATAATGACTTTTGTTAAATTGCACTGTACTTTTTTAACTATTGAATTTTCAATATTGACGTTTTTAAAGATATAAGCTCATCCCGATGTTACACTCATCAAGAGCTTTCATTTGAGTACCCACATCCATTTTCATATATTTTTCATATATACATATTTATAATGTATATAAATATATGAAAAATTACATCCATTTTCATATATTTTTCATATATACATATTTATAATGTATATAAATATATGAAAAATTCATGTGGGTATTCAAATGAAAGGTCTTGATGAGTGTAACATCGGGATGAGCTTATATCTTTAAAAATTTCAATAGTTCACGAGATTCAAGGTCATTCCTTAATTATGTATCTAGAGATAGAGCATTTTCGAATGCGACCTTAATACTTATCATCATAAATTGAATATTTGTAAGAATGATATGAAACCATGAAAAGGCACAACTCCAGGTCAAGACTTTTCCAACGATACCAAATTTAACCATAAAAACCGGAAATTGTACTTATTCTCTTAATAAGATAAATAATTTTTAATCTAATAATTGTTGTTAGTGAAAAATGTTTAACTTCTGCTTCGAAACAGAAAATAAATTATAAAATTATCTATTGCACAATTTTTACGTGACTTGGCATAAAATTTTTTTCTCATTAAGACTAATCGTTTTTTGTTCGATAATTTTTTTTTAATTGGGGCACGTTTTAGGAACGTAACATGAAATTAAATTCATTAAATATTTGAAAATAGCTGCCGATAAAAATCTTCTGAAAAAAAAAAAAAAAACGACATACGATTTAATTGGATATTAGATTTATTAATCTATTGTCTCCTATTAAGTTTTTTTTTTATTTCTGCAGAAGTGAATGTTTGGTAAAGGTACACGTTAGTCTGCTAAAAATTGATTGGGCAAAGCTCTGATATATAATCAAGACTAAATGACATTAACGCTAGTCAATTGAAGTCAACAAACAATACAGAGTAATCTAGTTTCGTAAGTATTAATTTTTTTATTTTGAAGGACTGAGCTAAATTAGAAATAAATTATTTTTAGAAGTAAGATGTTAGCGTCGGAAAAAAATTTATCGAATACAATTATGAAAGCATTATTATTTGGAGTGCTTTTTTTATTAACCATTTGTGGTTGTGGATGCACAGAAATCTGTTCGGTTTACGAAAACGTATCAATTTCGAAATACGAAAAACATCTAGAACGAATTCTCAATGCTAAATCATATGATTTAGAACCAATTGGGGAACTGTCAATAAATATTGAAATACAATTCGAATGCAAGGTAATAATATTAAACGCGGAAAATATTACTCATATTAGTAAAATCAGATTGGAAAATACTGCAAATCACAAAATTTACACGACTGATGACTACTCTACTTACGAGAACATTATTTTGAAAATTTCATTCGCGGAAAATATACCTCCAGAGAGTTATAAAATCAACTTTGATTACAACTCCGAGATAAACTCGCGTGCTGTGCTTTCCGAGTAAGTATTTTGGTAAATAATTAATTAATAACCTTGTATTTTATTAAATTGATTTCGGTTGCTCAATAAATGCCGATAAAACTTTCAAGATGGATCATGCTGACCAATTTCGACGACGATCACGTTGATGAAAAAAACAGCAACGCAACGAGAGTATGGCTCCGAAAAAGTGCTCTGGGCCATGGGAAATATTTAGTGAAAAATGTCGAAAGATTATTGGAAGCTTTTGAAAACTTTACTGGCTTCTCGTACAATAATAACAAGTACATTAAACTAGACTTCTTCGTGGTGCCCAAAAGTTCAAAGTCCGAGCATCTAAGCGGAGATTTTATTTATGTCGAGTAATATAAATACTTTCTTAACGATTGTCGAAAAAGAGCAAGAAAGTGGTAGCGATCCAGCGACTGCTTAAAAAAATTTCAATTCTTCTTAACTTTTACTTCATTAATATTAAAGCCTGCAGATTAAATAGTTAGGAACAATTTTTGGAAATCGGTTTGCTCCACTTTCTTCTCTTTTCTCTCAATTTTAAAAATGACTCCATTGCTCAACTGATCGGTTCATTTTCAGCGAAGAAATATTCCTCAATGAAGATAATAATACTATGGAGAGTGAAGAAAAATTGTATCGTACTATCGCAGAAATTATAATTAACCAGGCATTCGATAAGTACGATACTATTCAATCTTTAAAAAACAGAAATCTAGAGATGAATTTAAAGAAATATTTGGTTAGTTACGTAACAGATAAGGTAAACCGACGGTTTACTATCAATGATTGATGTAAAATGCAATAAATCTTTTGTACATTAAAAACTTATAGATCACTGGACAGCAGAATTTTGTAAGCTTATATGTTCTTAAACAACGAATGAGGATTTTTCAGGATATGTTTATTAATAACCGTTTACGTGACAAGAATATTGACATCAGTTTTTCTCCAACTGGTTCGTTGAAGCGACATTTTTTTTTATTTAAAAAAATTTTGATAATTATTATTATAATAATTAATTATACTTTTTAATAGTCGGTTTTCGGGCTCGAATGATAGCACATATCGTGGGTGAAGAAAAAGTTGTCTTACTCATTGAAGATAATTTACGAAACAGGTATTATTTAAAGTGAAAGTAAAAAATATACCTCGCAGTAAATATTTATGATCACAAATATTTTTTAAACCTGGTATTATATTATTACATAGGGACAAGATAAGAAATACAGACTTATTATCTGAATTACTGGAAATTTCGGGTAAAAAATCATTTCTGGAAGGAGTGATTGAAGACTGGAGGCGTAAAGGTGGACTACCAGTTGTCACAATTGAAAGGAATTATCAATCCAACAGTGCGATTATAAAGCAGATACCTTTTACACAGAGTACAAACAAGACGTCATCAAAGCAATTCTGGATTCCATTGTATATCGCAACTCAAAGAAACGCTGATTTTGATAGTACTTCCGTCACTAAGTGGTTCGATTCAGAACTAGAATCTATAGAAATTGTGACACCTCCCCCGGACCAATGGGTCATATGCAACAAACAGCAATTTGGTGTGTATTTTTTTGGAAAAGTAACTTATTCGCGCGGTATTTTTATTCGGAATTTATGTTTGCAGGCTACTATCGGGTTAATTATGATGAGAGAAATTGGAAACTGATTACTAATTATCTCAAGTCTGAAAATTACAAAAAAATTCATGTTCTGAACCGCGCGCAACTTATAGACGACGCGTTTGTTTTCGCTGAATTTGGATACCTCAATTTCAATGTCGCCTTTGATTTGGCGAGATATCTCAAAGTTGAGACAGAATATGTCCCGTGGGCGACTTTTTGGGAAAAAATGTTCCGTTTATATCAATACTCTTCAATATCTGGTTCTCAATACTACGAACCGTTTAAAGTAAGCATTAAATCACACTCAAATTTTTCGATTCTTAGATGAGAAGACGTACTACTTTTTATCGAAATATATCTTCAAAGTTTGTGATCTCGATCGGGAGTACACAGGAGTTCTCCGAAAGTTTTGACTAACTTGCTGTTTTTTGCAGAATATGATTTTGGAGTTATCTGGCCCACTGGAACGTAAGTTTCTGTCAGATGCAGCATTTGATGGTAACAATCGTTTGGAAAGACTCAATAAAATAGCGTTTATATAGTGGACTTGCTTCTACGGTTCAACGTTATGCAGAAACTATTCACTTGATAAACTCAAAAATTGGCTCGCGGATCCCGTTAAAAATCCGTCAGTTTGACATTACACTTCATTACCATACCGATCATTTACCAATTTAGTTTCTTCTAAAAAGTTTTCTTTGTTTTTGATGCAGACTATTGGAGGACCTCCGAAAAGAAATACTTTGTGCAGGAAGTCGCAGTGCTGATAAGAAAACTTGGGAAAAATTACTGGAGAAATATTTAATCGATAAAGACAACACCATTCTTTATGCACTCATGTGCTCATCAAATTATGAGTTACTGCATGAATTAATTATGTTGTTCATTAATGGTCAATTGGTTCAAAGTAATCCTTGGTATTTTTTGATTAAAATTGTCGAACAGAGCACCATCGGTTTGGACACTATCATCCATTTCATTGACAACAAACAAGCCGTTATCCACAGAATGTAAATTTTATATCGTCAATACTTTTATTTTTCATCAATTTCATTTAAACTATTTCTAGGTATCATCATTACAGTGTCGACCCTTCAACCGGCTTCATCACCAATCATGGAGCAGTAACTTATGACATGTAAGCTAAATTTTCGACGATTTATAATTTCGATCTACATTAATGAGGAAAAATTATAATTCTTAACTTTTTTGTTCACATTTTTAGGAAGCATTTTCATGACTTTGTAGATTCTTTCTATACAGTCATTGAGCAGTTCATTACAAATAAGCAACAGCGCGATAAAGTTAGTATCAAAACTTCCTTCTCATTCATCAATCAAACATGTCAATATAAAATCACTTCAATTTTTTCTAGTTCAAAAAAATATTGAATGATAATTTTGATACTCTCGGAAGCATAGAAGCTGCTGATCATTTATATTTTGCTCAAATGAAAGTCAATAACTCGACTTCTGTATTTAATTTGATGAAAGCTTACTGGGAAACTGAAGAAAAGTTATTTGATCCTTAAATCATGATTGCTAACTTAACATGAATTAAATCTGTTAAGAATTATGAGATAGTTAAAACTGTTCTGAATTTATATGAAAATTTACACTGAATAATAAAATATAAACAAAAATGTTATTACTTTTTATTGACAATTTGTTTTCCTATTTGTCATTCATAAATTAGAGTACAGAATTACATAAAAAGTTTATTTTTAAGACTTAAAAACTCTATAACTTATAGATTTAATCGTATCGCCTTATACGATTTTTACACTTCTTTTTTCCGTATAAAATGATTTGATTTTAATCAAAAAAATTGGGCAAAAAATATGATCTTAAGTGAAGAGATCTATAGCTTTGAGTACACACATTTCCAGTTGTAAGAGTACATAAATAATAATCTATAGTATTTATACACACATATCTGACCATACATTTGTGAGCATACATTTCTGGCCACTGCAAATACATCTAAGAATTGTAAATACTATACCAAAACATATTATTGGTATTTAAATGCCATACATATTAAATGACCTATACTAGAACTAATTTAGGTATACTAAGTCACTATATACTTTACATTGTCAACGCCGCACTCATAGTAGCACCTACTGAATATATAAGACCTTTTCGGTTCCATCTAATGTCCAATTGATAGCTTGCTTGTTAAGCGACTGACAAGTGACTGGAAAATCTGGGTTCGAATCCCAGTCTCGGCATGGAAGGATTTTAGGATTAAGTTAACTAAAAATATTGCTCTCTAAATACTCTACTAGCATCTAAGGTTTTCCTATCTGTGTCGGGATAGTTCAAGTGGACAAGAACGTCCAGCTTGTGAATCAACAGTCGCTTGACATACTCGCAAAAGGAACCTTTTTTTTTGCTTTTTTCAAGCTCGTCTATATTGATAATTTCTTTTTCCTACTAAACTTAACCTAAATTGCTTTAATAATTATTAAAAAAAAAAAAAAAAAAAACCCCCCCCCCACACGCTCAGGTCTTACTACTGTGGTACCAAAATGTATAAGGACTAGTTTAGGTATTCTCTCAGTCACTATATACTTTAAATTGTCAACGCTGCACTTGTAGTAGCACCTACTGAATATATAAGACCTTTTCGGTTCCATCTAATGTCCGATTGATAGCTTGCTTGTTAAGCGACTGACAAGTGACTGGAAAATCTGGGTTCGAATCCCAGTCTCGGCATGGAAGGATTTTAGGATTAAGTTAACTAAAAATCTTGCCTCCAAAGTACTCTATTAGCATCTAAGGTTTTCCTATCTGTGTCGGGATAGTTCAAGTGGACAAGAACGTCCAGCTTGTGAATCAACAGTCGCTTGACATACTCGCAAAAGGAACCTTTTTTTTTGCTTTTTTCAAGCTCATCTATATCGATAATTTCTTATTCCTACTATTTTACATTATTACTTTTTCTCTATTAACATTACATTGAAACAAATAAAAATCAACGAATTAAGGATAAGAATTTTTTATTGTCTCTTTTCGGGTGAAAAAATTTTTTTTTTCAAAATTTCATCAACGATAAATCAATTACAAAATTTTAGTAAAATCAGATCGATTAAAACGATTTCCAAAGCGATTCAAATCCATCAGACAATTCTGTTTTACTAAAAAAATATTGCATAAAAAATATAAAAAGATGCATAACTATAAATATACATCGTGAGTTCTAGGAATACATCAATAGTAGTCTATTGTATTCACACACACATATACTAAAACATCTTAGAGTATTGAAACTCATAGATACTTAATAATCCGTACATAACTGCACAAGTATATGTTACACCCCCCCCCCCCCTCCACACGCTCAGGTCTTACTACTGTGGTACCAAAATGTATAAGGACTAGTTTAGGTATTCTTTCAGTCACTATATACTTTAAATTGTCAACGCTGCACTTGTAGTAGCACCTACTGAATATATAAGATCTTTTCGGTTCCATCTAATGTCCGATTGATAGCTTGCTTGTTAAGCGACTGACAAGTGACTGGAAAATCTGGGTTCGAATCCCAGTCTCGGCATGGAAGGATTTTAGGATTAAGTTAACTAAAAATCTTGCTCTCTAAGTGCTCTACTAGCATCTAAGGTTTTCCTATCTGTGTCGGGATAGTTCAAGTGGACAAGAACGTCCAGCTTGTGAATCAACAGTCGCTTGACATACTCGCAAAAGGAACCTTTTTTTTTGCTTTTTTCAAGCTCGTCTATATCGATAATTTCTTATTCCTACTATTTTACATTATTACTTTTTCTCTATTAACATTATATTGAAACAAATAAAAATCCACGAATTAAGAATAAGAATTGTTTATTGTCTCTTTTCGGGTGAAAAAATTTTTTTTTTCAAAATTTCATCAACGATAAATCAATTACAAAATTTTAGTAGAATCAGATCGATTAAAAAGATTTCCAAAGCGATTTAAATGCATCAGACAATTCTGTTTTACTAAAAAAATATTGCATAAAAAATATAAAAAGATGCATAACTATAAATATACATCGTGAGTTCTAGGAATACATCAATAGTAGTCTATTGTATTCACACACACATATACTAAAACATCTTAGAGTATTGAAACTCATAGATATTTAATAATCCGTACATAACTGCACAAGTATATGTTACACCCCTCCCCCCCCACACGCTCAGGTCTTACTACTGTGGGACCAAACTGTATAAGGACTAGTTTAGGGATTCTCTCAGTCACTATATACTTTAAATTGTCAACGCTGCACTTGTAGTAGCACCTACTGAATATATAAGACCTTTTCGGTTCCATCTAATGTCCGATTGATAGCTTGCTTGTTAAGCGACTGACAAGTGACTGGAAAATCTGGGTTCGAATCCCAGTCTTGGCATGGAAGGATTTTAGGATTAAGTTAACTGAAAACCTCCATCCCTTTCAGAGTACTGTACTAGCATCTAAGGTTTTCCTATCTGTGTCGGGATAGTTCAAGTGGACAAGAACGTCCAGCTTGTGAATCAACAGTCGCTTGACATACTTGCAAGAGGAACCATTTTTTTTTTGCTTTTTTCAAGCTCGTCTATATCGATAATTTCTTATTCCTACTATTTTACATTATTACTTTTTCTCTATTAACATTATATTGAAACAAATAAAAATCCACGAATTAAGAATAAGAATTGTTTATTGTCTCTTTTCGGGTGAAAAAATTTTTTTTTTCAAAATTTCATCAACGATAAATCAATTACAAAATTTTAGTAGAATCAGATCGATTAAAAAGATTTCCAAAGCGATTTAAATGCATCAGACAATTCTGTTTTACTAAAAAAAAATATAAAAAGATTCATAACTATAAATATACACAACATGAGTTCTAGGAATACTTCAATAGTAATTTAGTGTATTCACACGCATACATACTAAAACACCTCAGAAGTATTTAAACTCATATATATTAAATAATCCGTACATACTCGTGCGAGTATGTGTTACACCTCCCCACACGCTCAGGTCTTACTACTGTGGGACCAAACTGTATAAGGACTAGTTTAGGGATTCTCTCAGTCACTATATACTTTAAATTGTCAACGCTGCACTTGTAGTAGCACCTACTGAATATATAAGACCTTTTCGCTTCCATCTAATGTCCGATTGATAGCTTGCTTGTTAAGCGACTGACAAGTGACTGGAAAATCTGGGTTCGAATCCCAGTCTTGGCATGGAAGGATTTTAGGATTAAGTTAACTGAAAACCTCCATCCCTTTCAGAGTACTGTACTAGCATCTAAGGTTTTCCTATCTGTGTCGGGATAGTTCAAGTGGACAAGAACGTCCAGCTTGTGAATCAACAGTCGCTTGACATACTTGCAAGAGGAACCATTTTTTTTTTGCTTTTTTCAAGCTCGTCTATATTGATAATTTCTTTTTCCTACTAAACTTAACCTAAATTGCTTTAATAATTATTAAAAAAAAAAAAAAAAAAAAAACGAATAAAAATCATTGAATTAGTAATAACAATTTCTAATTGTCTTTTTTCGAGTAAAAAATTTTTTGTTTCTCAAAATTTAATCAACGATAAATTAATTATAAAAATTTAGTAGAAGCAGATCGATTAAAAAGTTTTCCAAAGCGATTTAAATGCATCAGACAATTCTGTTTTACTAAAAAAAAATATAAAAAGATTCATAACTATAAATATACACAACATGAGTTCTAGGAATACTTCAATAGTAATTTAGTGTATTCACACGCATACATACTAAAACACCTCAGAAGTATTTAAACTCATATATATTAAATAATCCGTACATACTCGTGCGAGTATGTGTTACACCTCCCCACACGCTCAGGTCTTACTACTGTGGTACCAAACTGTATAAGGACTAGTTTAGGTATACTCTCCGCTCTCAGTCGTGCGTGTAATAGCATCGACTGCATATTTCTAAGAATTTCTCAAAGCGATTCAATGTCCAGCCAATGGCTTGTGTGTTAGGCGACTAACAATTATCTGGAAGATCTGGGTTCGAATCCCAGTCTCGACGATGGCGGAAATTTAGAATTGCAAAATCCGGGAAACGTTCCGTTTCTCCCTCTGAGTCTTTCACATTCTTAAATGGTTTTCCGTCAGTCTCGCGATAGTTCAAATGGCCAAGAACCTCCAGCTTATGTATAGACAGTCGCTTAACACCCTCGCCAGAGGTACCATCATATTTTTTTCGACTTTTTGCCAAGTCAGTAAAATGACTTAAATTTTTTCTTGATTTTATTTTTTGCTCCGGTTTTATTGGACAAAATATTTAGTTCCGATTTTTAAAAAAATATCATTGAGTATTAGATGAAAGCTATCAGAATAAAAAATTCTTTCTAATTTCAAAACGTTAATTATTAACAGCAGTAACAATTTGTCAGTAATTATAACGATAAGGAGGAATTTTTTTCTTTAATTATTTTATATTTTTAAGTAACAATAAAAAAAGGCCATTTGGCACCAGCCAAGATGGAAGGTAGATTTCATGTCATCCATGATTTTAAT